TTTGGTTTCACACTACAGGGAAGACATTTAGAAATAAATTCAAGTTTCTGTCTACAATGACTATGACTATGATTTGGCCATATTTACTGCATCAAACTTTCTTTTTATTGATGCACTCCATTTTACTTTGTTTACCAATATTTATATTTGTGATTACTAGACCACAGCTAAAAATATTTTGCTAAAACAAAAAATACAAGAACAAGGTACTTCTAGGAACACTTGCAAGAGTTGAAAAATTTTGTTAGCATTTTCCACACACTTTTTACCATGTTACTGTTAAAACCATTAAATGTTCCTTTGAAGAAAACAAAGTCTAAACAAGACGATCCTAAATATAAGATATTTACAGTAAACACTCTCAATTAGGTGACTCTTTATTCAGTTTTGAGGATTTTGTGCATAAATTTGATCTTATCAAATGTTTGTCCTGTATAACAGACAGAAAGTCTTTAATTTTTAAATTCCAAAGTGTGCAGATAAAGTGAATTAAAATTAATCAAATTTGTGTCTAATTGTGAAAAAATCACTGTATAATAATAAACCATCTTATAAAAAAACATTATGTATATAATCATGCTACCACAGCTGATTTGATTAACTGAACCTATTTTATGATAATCTTGAACAATATTGTTTTTGAGAAAAACTTTAACAAAACTGAAAACATATACTGAATTGTAAACTAATAATTCATAAAATAGTAAGGGTGTGTTTCTGGACAACAAGTTGCATTATTTATAAATCTTAAAATACATCAAAGGAATAACTATAGTGANACAANATAAACAAAAGTAGGATGATGTTCTTTCGTGCCTATGACAAGAACATATCTCAGTAATATCACTAAAATACTGAAATCATAAATGCTGTCCTTAAAAGCATCCATGAAATTATGAAAATGTTCACTGTAGATTAGATATTTTATTTTGAAAATGTCCCGGGCACTAATCTTGGTACAAAATAATTAAAGTGATAAAGTCAGACAAATATTTTTAGGAAATTTTATTTAAACCATCAAGTTGTAGAAGAACAAATGAAGCAAAATGGAAGGAAAAAACAGAGAAATTCTAAAACAGCACAGCCAGAGCAGTAGTAGAGAATAACTGGTGATCTTCTAGTGAATCAGCTCAGGAATGGGAGCACTGGTCTCTCCTCAGTGTCTCTGTGACTGCAGACTGGGAGCCCTGGGAGGCCTCACAGGTCACAGAGCCCACCTTCCTCCACTGGTCTGCAGGGAGCCTCAGGGTGCTGCTCCAGCTGTAGAGGCCGTCATTCTGCAGCACCCCGGGGCTCCTGCTCTGCTCCAAGCTGCTGCTGCTGCTGCCGTCCAGCTTCCAGGACAGAGTCCAGTCTGAGGGGAAGCCCTTGTTGGCCAGACACATGAGGGTAACCTGCTGCTGCTGCAGCTCCACACTGGAGGGGGGCAGCACTGTCAGGGTGGGGCGGGTATCACCTAGGAGACACCAATCAGGTTAGAGAACAGGAACTACAGTCATTTGAACTCTTGTACTGTGAAAGCTGATTTTCTCCACTAAGTCGTTTCTAACAGATGTATTCTGCTCTACCAGCCATTCAGCTCACATTCTGTTTCGTTTCCTTTTCAAAACCCTGTCTTGCATATCAGCTCAGGAAGACAGATAATAAAGTTTAAACTGAAATATACCTGTAATGAAGTGTAGAATGAAAATATTAAAAATTTTTCCCTCATAAATAAAATGATGAAATCACAACAGTAAATGTTGTAGAAAAGGCTAATCAGATTTTTTAAAATATAATTCATAATTTAGTAAACCCTTTTTCATTAAATTAATCTGTTCAGAAGCTTTGATTGGTCACAGACGTTTTCTCACATCTCTTGTCTTTAACTGTGACACAGTTACCAATAAATAAAGATATGCTCTTGAAAAACAGACCATTATTCTCATGTCTAGCACTCTGTAAATTATTTACTGATATTTTACTTCAAGAGGAAAGTTAATCTTCAACTTTTATAAATCACAGTAAAAGAAACTAATAAAAACACATTTTTCTACCTTCAACAGGTCACTGAATAATTTTTTAAAAATCATCCAAACATACATCCAACCTGGTTCCTCACTAATTGTCCACCATAATGATACAAACTGGTTGAACTGCTTTACAGAAATATTTCACAGTAGGGACAAAAACATCTGACTTTTTAAGACTAATCAAAACCTTCAAGCCCAGATTAATGACCAAAATAAACACAATTTACTGTAATATTTCATAAAAAAATAACATATATGATTGTATCTTATATGTGGTTTCTCTTTATGAAAGAACTGTTGGGTCAGTGCATTTATTTGCAAAAAGAAAACCTAAAATCTTCACAATTCATTCAACTTTCATTTATCAAAGTTAAATACTGAACATATAAAATTACAATTTAATAAAACAACATTTACTTTGACTTACTTCCAACCTGTAGTCTGGTTCCTCCACCGAACGTGTACCACAGTGATACAAACTCATTGAGGCGCCGTACAAAAACCTCTGACTGAAGAGACACGGCTCTGACAGTTTTAGACTAAACTAAACCTTATAACCAGATTAAACCACGAACCTCTTTATTGATGTAAATCCTCCCCTTGTCCAGGTCTCACTATCTCAAAACTGTCAGATTTCCATTCACAAAATCACTTCTTTGTTCTTGTAAAACTTCTGTTTATCAAAAATAATCTGCATATTCTGAGCTTTATTTTCTAGCAACACAAAATAATAAAAATTGAAAAGTGTTTATTAAAAAGTAGCTTTAAATTTCACTTACTTCCAATTTCCAGTCTGGTTCCTCCACCAAAAGTCCACCACAGTGATACAAACTCATTGAGGCGCCGTACAAAAACCTCTGACTAGAGACACGGCTCACTCACTTTCATCAAAACAAGAAATAAAATCTGCTGCTTGTGTCAAATCTAGATCTGTCATAGAAAGCAAAAATGTTTTAAAATAATTAAAATTTTTATTTTCACAATATGAAACCATAAATAATGTTTTGAATTTTTCATCCAAAAAATTAAATGCACAAATGCATTTCTTTTCTTAGATGTAAGAATTATGATAAATTACTTAAATAAATCACTCAGATAAATTAAATATGTTGAAACTTAACAACAATCCAAATTTGAGTAATTCTCTTTTTTTTCTGATCAGTATCACAAGTTTTCTCTTTTCTCATCTTTAATTTTCTCATTATGTCTTAATAAAATCATTACGTAAAGATATGCTCTTGGAGCACAGATAATTATTTTTAGACTGTATACAGTTATTCTTTAACACACCTTTAACTGCATGTTGTCACCTTAGAAATCATTATTGAAGGTTTACACTCAAATATTAGAACACATATTTTAATAAACATTTGAAATAATGTCAGTGCTTGAACAGGTTTTGGTGAAAAAAATGTCAAAAAAAAAAAAAAAGGAGTAAGTCCAAATGGGGAAAGATTAATGCAACAAATGTGATACCATTATTATGAAAATGCATTTAATTATTTGCTTGCCATATGGCATCAATAAGAAAAAATAACTTCTGAAGTTTTAATAATAATAATAAAAAAGTATATTTTCTCACTCTAAAGTAAATTAATACAAATTGTCCTGTCCTGTAGCTTGTAGTATAATTACTGCATACTTGTCCATATGGTCACATGTGAGCCTTACTCCAAAGGTTCTAGGTCTAGGACAAGAGGTGGAGGGTGACCAGTAAGAGTACTGTGCATATTTCTTGTGAATAATGTGAATAAGTCACAGATAAGATTTCAGAATCATTTGTAAAACATTTATTGCTTATAAGATTGAATCAGTCCACTTCAAAACAATATCAAGCACATTTGGAATGAAACCAAGAAGCTGGTAATAAGAAAAAATGAAAGCAAAGGTAAAATCAACAACAGATTCATTTTAGAAGCACTGGTCTCTCCTCAGTGTCTCTGTGACTGCACACTGGGAGCCCTGGGAGGCCTCACAGGTCACAGAGCCCACCTTCCTCCACTGGTCTGCAGGGAGCCTCAGGGTGCTGCTCCAGCTGTAGAGGCCGTCATTCTGCAGCACCCCGGAGCTCCTGCTCTCCTCCCAGCTGGTGCTAGTTCTGCTGCCGTCCAGCTTCCAGGACAGAGTCCAGTCTGAGGGGAAGCCCTTGTTGGCCAGACACATGAGGGTAACCTTCTCCTGCTTCAGGTCCTCACTGGAGGGGGGCAGCACTGTCAGGGTGGGGCGAGTATCACCTAGGAGACAACACCGAGGTCAGAGGACATGGATCACAAAGCTGTCAGTCATATAGGAAGCATCTAAGCAAATTGAATGTGACAGCAGAGATCTTCTATGCTAGGATGTTCCTGCCAGATGTCGTTTTGCTCCAACAGTCACTTAATGTTTCACTTCCTCTTTAGAATCTTCTGAGCTCCATCATCATGCAGTCTGACCCTAATTATTTTATCTAGACTTTAAAGGAAAAAAATATATATATTTTTTATGTTACAAGCGCTAATAATTAAATCAACATTTTAATTACAGGTTTCGCATTTAAAATTCACAATGAAACATATTTGTTAAATTTTGACAACATAAAGTAGTAAGGTTAAATCTGTCCTTTTTATGTTGTGTTGTTGCTCTATAGCTCAGGAAATGCTTGTAAATGAGAACTTTTATCTCAGTTGTTCTCTTCCTTGTTAATTGAAATAAATTAAAATAAAATGATTGGACGTTTCTTTTCTTGTCTTTTTCTGTCTCTTCCCTTCATGTAGATTAATACAGAATAGCAGTTCAGATGTTGTACCACTGATTTAGTCACACATCAAGTAATATTTTATCAACTAAGAACAGAAAACAATATTAAATTTAATTTTATATGAGCTAATCTTTTCAAACATGGACTTTGACTCAACTTAAACTACATTGTAAAGTCAAGATACAAAAATATCTGTTTTCTATTAAACTACAAACAGCAACATAGAAACATTTTAAAAGATTCTATAATTTTCTGTTTAGTCTTGAATTGGAACAGACTTACTTCCAATCTCCAGTCTGGTTCCTCCACCGAACGTGTACCACAGTAATACAAACTAATTGAGTCGTCGTACAAAAACCTCTGACTGTAGAGACACGGCTCTCTGACTTTTTAAGACTAAACTTAACCTACGAGCCTAGATGAAACTGTTCAAAGAAAAACACAGTAATTATCCGTTGACTGATCGCAATATATAACACAATGTTTTAGATTTAAAAATCTAAAATCACTTTTGCATCTCCTGTGTTTTAGTAAATAAAAAATACATTACCATTTTTTTACTGCCTATCGATCATGAGAGAAAATTAAGGAAAATGAACCAAATAAATAAAGATAAGTAAAAACTTTAACTTACTTCCAACCTCCAGTCTGGTTCCTCCACCGAACGTGTACCACAGTGATACAAACTCATTGAGCCGTCGTACAAAAACCTCTGACTGTGGAGAGAAGCGGGTCCTTGACTCTGAACACAAACCACTCTGCAGAAAGTGCTGTTTGTTGCATAAAACAAGCCTGAGCACAAAGCCAAAGCTTTACCTGAACTTTACCAGAATCTAATTGTTTTATCATGAAAAAGAAAATTCCAGGTAAACAAAATAGAGGGAAAAAAATGACTGTGTCCTGAAGCCAAAAGTAGTATTTGTAACTCCACAATGGGACCAATCCAGAGAGATAATTCAAGTGCTATGTTTTTATTATGTTTACTTGGTATAATTCAAGATACTGTTTTTAAATATCAAGACAATCAAACATTTTCCATTTCTAGAAAAGCTAGTCTGTCACTGAGACATAAACTTCCTAAGGGGGATGACCTATAAAGATGCTGTCTAGCTGAAATATTTAGGATATTTAAGTAACAAAAACTCTGCTTTAAAGGAGCAGATTACCTTATCAAAAGAGTGAAAACTCTTCATAAGTTTAATAAAAAAGCATCTTCAGTTTTGTTTTATGTAAAGTAGAATTGAGTGCTATTGACCTTTTTGCCTGTTACTGATTGTGGAGATATTCTGTGTGTTTATTGTCTTTACATATGTTGTAAAAGTTGAGTTGTGCCAATGTCCATGAAGACTGTTGTGGTTGCTCTTGCCCATTTTCTCATTTTTCTGGATGAGAGCATGTGTCAATTTCCCCTTGGGAATCAATTAAGTATTGTGGATTCTGTTACACTGGAGCACTGAGATTTACTACAGACTGATCTTTTCTCTCATTGTCTGATACACTCATGCAAATGGGATGTTTACAGTCATTCTGGGTTAAAGTTTGAAGTGCAGGAAATGGGACGAGCTTTTACAGTTCCTGGAAGAGGAGTCAAACATAAGAGGTGCCAAGTTAGTTAAATGGGGTGAGGTTAGCAGGGAGTGATGTTATGCTTTCCTTTGTTCCAGGAGGAAAAGACAAATGGGTGAGTATTGTAGGATGGACAGACAGGCGGCAGAGAAGCAGTTCACAGCCCAGGGGAGTGACAAAGTGGCAAATAACAGAAACAAATCAAAATGGACTCAATTTCTGTCTGTTTTATTGAACCCAATATTGGAAAGTTCTTAGTGCACCTGCTTTTCACACAAGTTTTCACAGAGCCCATTACTCTCGCACAGAATTTTTACTCGAGCTTTGTGTGTGTTGAGGTCTCAACCAGTCCAGTCTGTTCTTTGGCTCATGCAGATCTCTTGGCTTACTTTACATTTGAGTCCTCTGAAAATTGTCAGGAATAGTCCACAGCTGGGATTTTTCAAGACTTACCTATGTAACTATTTACAGTATTTTTTTCAGTTGTCATTTCCATGTCTTCCCAAATCTGAATTGCTTCCAGACTTTTCAGGCTGGGGTGATCCACAGAAACATTCTTTCCAGGTCAGTTTGTTACCGGAAGAGCAGTGGAGACAGACAACGGTAAGCTGGAGAGGTTATCCCTGAAGAAGTCAGATGAGGGCAGGTGTATAGAAACCATAAAC